AACATAAAATGTTATAACACTTTTGACTTTTGAAACAAAATAAAAAATTATAAAATTATAACAGTTTTGATGCCGGCCCTGCACAATCGCAAATTAATTACGATTTCCAGCTGATTGTAGAAAAATTCACCTTCAGTAGGTCGGAAATAGCTGCTTTTTGGGGTGATGTTATTGTTTATGTTTGGTATTAAGTTATGGATCAGCCGAAGAAAATGCACTCGCGTTAAGGTCCATTAGATGACTGAACTGTATAAGTATTTATCATCTCAGTAACTTTTTATTGGATGAATACGCTGGAATTGGACTTTTTGGTATTTCTTTTTCGTAATTGCAAGAGTTTTCTCGTATTAATATTATTAAAGTATTGTATACCTGTTACATTGTTAACATTTTAGAATCCAGATGTTTTCTACATTCATTTGTAGATAGATGTAATAATTCGTTGTAGACTGGATACCGATTCATCGAAATCATTTCTGTTCCCAAAGATCGACTCCACTCGATTGTAGGTACACTTATAGGCTGGTCGTTTTCAAAGTAAGAAAGACCATTGGCACTCTCGTATAAGCGTACGTACGTACATTATGCTTGTCTGTATGTGTGTGCATGTGTGGATGTAGCAAGACGAAGAGCACAATCAACAACAGCAAGGTACGGCGAACGAGGTAAGTTGCATGCACGCACAGGTGCAACGTCTCGCTAAAGGCAAGGTTGCTCCTTCTTCCGAGCTTTACTTGTAGGAGAAGACATGGTAGCTTAATGGGAAGCGATTAGTTCGTCGCTCCGTGGAATCAGACGACTCTCTAACCCTGAAACGATTACAACATACGGTGATGTATGTGGAGAATGGAGGTAATGGTTAATTTCCGAAATATTACATGATGATGTTTCAATTTCTAAATGAGTTCTTGGTTAAAGGGGGTGTAATCAGAAAGTAAGGTTTTAGTACGAAAATATCTAAGAAAATATCTTCATACTTCGCTGCTCTACGACGATCCGTTGCCGAGATACGGTGTCTTGAAATCGTATTACGTCCCGGTTCCGTGACGTCAGAAAAGCTGCCTCCAGTCAGAGCGCTCACATTTCAGTATGTTTTATTACCGATTTTACTAAAGGTTATCATATTATAGAAAATTGCTATTTATGTAGTGGTGTTTGGATTTTAACCCAGCTTTAATAATTAAGTTGAGTCANATTATTATATAATTAATTAATAATAGAAGTGTTAGACAGAAAATAATTAATAAAAGTAGTAAAAGCGGGAGAAGGTGTTTAAATACGTGACAATATCAATAATAACTTACAAACCAGCCAAAATTAATTTACAAAAAAAAATAAAAAATTTGCCATCAATTTTTGAGTTTTTTTTAATCATGGTTTTAAACAACGTTGAATATCTCTATATGTTCAATTCTCAACTTGCCACTAAAGTGTATATCAGAAGTTTACATTATTTGCATACATATGCATATGTAAATGTATAATGTATAAATGCTTCTATAATAAAATAAGAAGGGTATAAATGTATGTAACAAACTATGACGGAAATGCTTTGAAAGGAAGTTTTAAACATTGATAAATCACCTTGAACTACAACTTGTTTATACTATCATGTTGTAACAGATTTAGAAATTCTTATCAAGAATGCAGCATCCTACAGGAAACGGCGAATTCGAAATGATATAATATTCATTTAAATTTAAGACACCATTTATGATTAATTAGGCAGAAACGAAAAAGCACATGTATTGTATAAAGAATGACTGCTCATCACATATAAAAGAATGCACGGCAAAAGTTTAATTATTTAGCATGAGGTACCTATTTGAAAACTGTAAACTGGACTTAATTAGGGGGCATCCATTAATTACGTGAGCTCTTTTTCGATCATTTTAGACTCCTCCCTCCCTTAGGCGAGATTTAGTGAGATTTGCCAGCCCCCCCCCCCTTACGTGAGATTGACGCTAACAATATTTTAAACTTAATTTATTTTTATTATTCGGGAAAATAATCGTTCAGGTATACTGTAGTTAATTTATTTAAATTAAATAAAATTCAAAGTAAAAACAGATTACAACACTTTTTTTTTAATTTTTACTCAATCCATGGA